ATTTATTTTCGTTAAATCTCATTTTTATTTTTTTTATTTTTAAGGCACCGTTTGGGAAGAAGGTTTGTACGCTTTTTTAACTATTTTAGCCACAAAAAACAAAATAAGCTATTTTAATCACAACCAACAAAATATCACATCTAACTCATAATTATTATATTATTCTCTCACAAAAAAAGTTAAAAAACCAAAAAATCCTTCCCAAACCAAACTTTTTAATCCAAACTAAAATAATCAAAAAAACCAAAAAGTCAAAAAGTCAACCAACTCCCAAAACCAACCTAATATGTATACTATTGAGTATATATATGTGTAAATTTTATTGATTGAAAATTGCATATACCTTCGGCCTCCCAAGATCAAAATCTTGGGATTAGGGTTTAGGGTTAGGAATCAATTTCTAAATCTTCACCAGAGAATGAAACTTGATCATCGCCGACCGGAAGAAAAAATGAATAGCGTTAGCCCATGGAAACGGAAACGCCCTGAACGGGAAGGTAAAAACATTGGCTGGACAAATTTTTATCGTTATATATATATATTTTTATTTTCTAATAATGATGATATAAACAGGTTCATTCGTAATTCCGCGACATAGTATTGGGGAGAGGTTTGACCATTTTGTATATGCTAATATGGACGTAGATATTGATACCAAAAGAGCGGCTTTGAAAGCTTCTCCTTCAGTTGTTTGTCTTACATCCCTTACAGGTGGGTGGTATATACCACATTATTATGTCATGCTTTATTGTTCTTCATGTTATCCTTCATATACGTCATTGTCAGCGGCTATGTTAGAGCTAGGCAAAATGTATTTAATTATTAGGATCATTTCCCTCCATCTTTATTGTTGACGTGGCATTCTATAAAGTTAATAGTATTTTGATGAATAGCTAAAATAAAGAGTATGGTTGGAGTAAAAATATGAAACAGTTGATAGGCAAAATAAAATGTATACTTTATAGTAATATTTAGATATGTAAAATGCCTACTACCGTTGGAGATGCTCTAACCGTTAACTTTTAAGACTTGTTGAGTAGAATATTTATACAAAAAATTAAGATGATTAGACATCGGTATCTATATGTTTGAATCATATTTATTTTAAAAAAATAGTCGATAAATATAATTTCAAAAATAATCATTCATTCTTTATAATATAAATTTGATTCAAATATATCTCTATCGATATATTCTATTCAACAAGTCATAAAAAAATGAACAATTTAGATGATTGATGTTGGTCCCAAAATAAACATACTAAACCCAAAAACTCTCTCAAACTGGGATGGCTAATATCAGAGAAACCAAATCCATAAATATCATTTCCTCTCTTCTTAATAATTAAACTGCCATTGACGGATCATCTAACTAAACTGCCATTGGATGATCGCACAACGATCTTCCAATCAAATTCAAACAATGAGTCTATTTAGTACAGTTTTTTATAAGTTGAAAGTAAATTATCAGAAAACAGAAACTAAAAACATTATTTCCTCCACTTTTCAATAATTAACTTTTTTTCAACTTATTTAAGAAGTGTAAGGCACCGTCTGGGAAGAAGAATATGGGTTTTTTGGGGCTATTTTAGCCATAAAAAACAAAATATGCTATTTTAGCCACAAAAAATAAAACATCACATCCAATCTATAATTATTACACTATTCACTCACAAAAAAAGTCAAAAAAGTCAAAAAGTCAAAAAGCTCTTCCCAAACCAAGCTTTTTAGCCCATGCTAAAATAGTCAAAAAAGTCAAAAAACCAACTCACTTCCCAAACCAATCCTATGTATAAATTTCTAAAATATGTATATATTTCTATAAAAGATAAATTACAAATATATCTTGTGAGATTTTTTAAAATATGATTGGCCCCTATGATCTTGAAAATTACAAATACCCTTTTGTCAAAATTTGTTATTCAGTAGAGTTAATAGAAAAAATTAAATTCCTAACTATCTTCCTATACAACAATAAAATTATTGGACCTGTTAATTGAAATATATTGCTGATTTTATTGAAAATTGTTAATTAATTTAATGATTGATTAATAAAAAAAAATTATTTGTTATACAATTAAAAATTTTAAGAAGATAACGTATAATTTTTAAAAATTACAAATACCCTTTTGTCAAAATTTGTTATTCAGTAGAGTTAATAGAAAAAATTAAATTCCTAACTATCTTCCTATACAACAATAAAATTATTAGACCTGTTAATTGAAATATATTGCTGATTTTATTGAAAATTGTTAATTAATTTAATGATTGATTAATAAAAAAAAATTATTTGTTATACAATTAAAAATTTTAAGAAGATAACGTTCCCTTTTTAAAATCACATAACACAATTAACATTTTAATTAAATATCAAAAAAATGTAATTTACCCATATATAAATAATTCTATAAACCATACCAAACAAAAATCACATTCACGCAATTTTGACTTTGATGGTAATTTGAAAATCCAAACTTCAACTATTCGTTAAACTTTCTCAACCCTGAAATTCAGCACTTGATTTTCTCGGCACTTTCCGGAAAATAAGAAAACTGAGAGTCCTTTTCTAGTAAAAACTTTGGCCATGTTTGGCATAAGTTTTTTTTTTTTTTTTAAATAAAATAAATTAAAAAATTAATAAGATAAAATGTCATATCTAAACAATAATCATTTTATTTTTTTCTCATAAAATTTTAAAAAATTAAAAAATTCATCCCAAATAAATTTTTTTAATTCCAAACTAAAATAATTAAAAATCTAAAAAATTAAGGGATTGTTTAGAATGATCTAAATAAGTGTACTTTTTACAAAAAAAAATATGAAATATAAGTTAAGTTTGAAATAATATAACAGAAAAATAATATAATTTAAATAAAATAATATAACTTAAATAAAATAATAACTTTTAAATTTTTAAAATTTTTAATATCATGCCTAACAAAGACTAAAACACCAATCCACATCATGAATATTTGCAAAGTGGGTCAACGAAGCCAAAATTAATGTCTGGATTGATGCTTGGTTGCAGAGAAGACTTCAGAGGAAGAGAAAAAAAAACATAAATCAATGTTAGGGCATGACGTGTTCATTTAACACTAATTTACACAAAAATTAGAGCCCTACTTATTAGAGCACTCATTGGATGCGAAGACCATTCATTCTTTTTGTTTCCATCACATTCACCAAAAAGTCGCATCATATTTAAATTTGGGAACTTTGAAAATGGCTTGCGCTGTGTTTGGTAGGAGGATTTGAAGAGGGATTTGAAAAAGGAAAGGGAAAAGTTAGGTGAAATGGGAATAAAATATGCCTACATTTCACCTAGTTTCACACACCTTTTCTCTTTCCTTTTCCAAATCCCTCTCCAAATCCCCCAACCAAACACAGCATTAAGGTTTTATTTGGGGAAAACTACACTTTATTTGCACTATTACGCCAATATCATTTATCCCATTTAATTAAAAAAATGTTATATAATTTGTTACTTTGAATCAATTAATAGTTTGGATAAATTATAAACACATTTTTTAAAATTTATCTAAAATAGAAATTATTTTATCTAATTTGAAAAATTATAAATTTCTCTTTGTCTGAATTTTTCATTTAGAATTAATTGAAAAAGTAAAATTTCTAACTGTTCAACTATACAATAATAAAATTATTTAAATTATTAATTGAAATAAAATTTTAATATTATTAAAAACTGTTAATTAACTTGATGATTTATTAATAAAAGAATCTATTTGTTATGAAATTAGGAACTTTAGGAACATAATGTAATTTTTAGAACCACAGAGAATAATTTGTAATTTAAATAAATTTCAAGAGATGTGTTTGTAATTTACCCTAATAGTTTTCACCAATGTGAACTTTTTATTAAAAATTTATTACATAAATAGATAAAAAAATAAATAAATTAACATTTGATTTATACATGACAATTCAAATTTTATAAATGCCTAAAATTATTTTATTTTATTTTGTTTTCATGGTTGTCTATGAAAGCAATTATAACTGCTGACAACGGTAAGAGAAAGAAAGGAAAAGACAAAAGAAGAAAAAGAAAACAATAAATTTATTTTAAATATTTCATAGGATTTGAGATGTCATGTTAAATTTGTATTTATTTATGTAACATATCTTTAATGAAATATTCATGTTACCAAAAATGCCTTAGAGCTCTAATATAGGAGCTCTAATAGCTCTAATGGGAAGGTGGGTCCCATCCTGATGTGATGTTTGTGCCTTGTTTTATTTATTTTTTTTTTTTTGCTTTGACACATCATTAGAGCTCAAATTAGAGCTCTATATTTAGAGCTCTCTATCATTTCCCTTCATGTTACTACAAATATTTTACTCTCTTAATAGTTCAAGAGAGTAAAATTAATTTACCTTTCTAGTATGTTTATTTATTATTTTTTTAGAGAAATTTCACTTCGGGGATGATTTTGAAAAATAATTACAAATAAGTAATAAATTTTATAAATATTGATAATTAAAAATATAAAATTTTCTATGAATCTGAAGTATTTTTCTATAACTACCATTGATCTGTAATTTTTATCTATTTTCAAAACATTTTAATACATTAAATTAGAAAACAAATATACATATATATTCTGTTTTATAATAAAAATAAATAAAAACTAATAATGTTATCAAACAAGTACATACCATCTACATCTTTTTTTGATGATCGGATGTCGGATCAATTTACACGTACCTAAATTAATCCTGAGACACACACAAAACACCCCCTCCAAGTGAATTAGGTAAATTTCGGGGCAGAGTCGGCAAACATGGTCCCTAAATAATTGATAGCACCTAATGAAAATTAAACGAGGTTGTTTGGGATGACTTAAATAAGTACATTTTTTGTCTTTTTACGAAAAGATGTGCAGAAAAGTAGAGAGATGATGTGATGGAAAAAAGATAAAAAGATAAAAAGTGTGTACTTATAGAATAGCCAAACTTGACCTTAATAACACCTAATATGAATTAAATCTTAAAACTTGAAAAGAACACACCCCAAACCTTAAACTTCACCTAATACAATCTACATCTAGTTTGTACACATCAAGCAATACAGTAACACTACAAATCCACAAATTTTACCAAAAAAAATTACAAGAAATATCAATCCATTTTACATAGATATATTCATTGCACACTTCAATTCAGGGTAATAATTCTGAGTAAAAAGTCATGCTCCTTGTAATAAGCCTGCAAAAGCAAAGTAGATCATCTATTTGGGGAAGGCACAAACAAAAGAGAAACAGCACCCAGAGAGAGAGAGAGAGAAAGTGGTGAGTGTTTCTCCCTCCTCTCGTACATTACACACTTTCCCTTTCATTTCTTCTCATCAATTTGCAATAGATTATAATCCTATTCACACAAAAGTCCACCTGCTCAAGCCGCCCAAAAGTAAACGCTTATACCCCCCTTCCATCTTTTTCTATTGTTCCGTGTCAACATCAACGCCTCTCTCCCCTCTCACCTCTCTATCTTTCTCTATCTTTCTGGGTTAATGGGCATTGACTAAAATTCTTCACAAACTTAGAATCAAAAGTAGAAAAACCCCGCATGATTGATTGGAGAATCTTAGCATCCTAACCTGTCTTCTTCTTCTTTTCTTCTTCTTGTTCTGATTATGATCAAAGACATCATCACCACCACCACCACCATCACAGACCAGCCATGCCATACTATCTCTTTATGCTCATCCTTGTTCTCTATCTCTCTTGTTTTCCCAATCCCATTCATGCCTGCAACCAACTTGATCAAGATTCTCTCTTGTCCTTTTCTCTCACCATTTCACCTCCTCTCAATTGGACTTCAGACCTTGATTGCTGCCTCTGGGAAGGCATTGCCTGTGATGGGAACAATCGCGTGTCCCGTCTCTGGCTGCCTTCCCAAGGCCTCCGGGGATTTATTTCCCTCTCCATCTTAAACCTCACCGGCCTCAATCAACTCAATGTCTCCCACAATTATCTTTCTGGTACTCTCCCTGACCAATTCTTCTCATCCTTGATTCACCTCGAGATCATCGACTTGAGCTATAACAGGTTATCCGGACCATTACCACCGACTGATAGCTTGCCAATTACAATCCAGAAATTGGATTTGTCAAGCAATCACTTCAATGGGACAGTTCAGTCCTTGTTTTTTCAGCCAGGTTGGAATTTGACAGCTTTTAATGTCAGTAACAACAGTTTTGCGGGCCCAATCCCTTCCTCGATTTGCACAAATTCAGCCTCAGTCCAGTTCCTGGATTTCTCATTCAATGAATTCAGTGGTCAGATTCCACTCGGATTCGGAGGGTGTTCGAAACTCGAGGTCCTGCGAGCAGATTTCAATCGGCTCTCAGGACCGATCCCCAGCGATATATATAAAGCCGGGGCGCTACAAGAAATCTCTTTTCCAGTCAATAAACTCAACGGAACGATTGGTGGTAGAATTGTTAACCTGACAAATCTCAGAATCCTTACACTGTATGGTAATGGATTGACCGGCGTGATTCCTCAGGATATTGGGAAGCTCTCAAACTTGGAAGAACTGCTTCTTCATATTAACCTCCTGACCGGTACTCTGCCACCGTCACTGATGAATTGCACCAATCTCAAGACACTGAATTTAAGGGTGAATTGGTTACAAGGCGAGCTTGCATTGCTTAATTTTTCGAATCTTGCTCAACTTACCACACTGGACTTGGGGAACAATAACTTCACTGGTGCCCTGCCTGTAAGCCTTTACTCATGCAAATCGCTGACGGCTGTTCGATTGGCAACTAACCAACTAGTGGGACAAGTCTTGCCCGACATAGTCGCATTGCAATCGCTCTCATTCCTTTCGCTTTCTAACAATAGCCTGACCAATTTCACAGGAGCAATCAAGATTCTCATGGGTTGCAAGAACCTCAGCACCCTCATCATATCGAAGAATTTCTATAATGAATCGATATCAGATGATCAGAATATGATGGATTCAGCAGGGTTTCAAAATCTCCAAGTTTTGGGTTTGGGGGGTTGTGGTTTCACCGGTGAAATTCCGAGTTGGTTGGCTAAACTTCGGAAGTTGGAGGTGGTGGACTTGTCTCAAAATCAAATCACAGGCTCAATTCCAGGTTGGTTGGGGACTCTTCCAAGCCTCTTTTACATGGACTTGTCTTATAATCTCCTTCTGGGAAGCTTCCCAATGGAGCTTACTCAAATGCCAACACTGGCAACAGAACAGGGCGCCGATGAAATAAGCCGGAGTTATCTGGAATTGCCAGTCTTTGTACAACCCAACAATGCTTCTTTCATGCAGTACAATCAGCTAGCCAATCTGCCACCAGCAATTTACTTGAATAACAATAACATCAGTGGCAATATACCCATCGAGATTGGCCAATTGAAGTTTATTCATGTGCTAGACCTAAGCAATAACAACTTCTCTGGTACCATTCCGGACCAATTATCTAATCTGACTAACTTGGAAAAACTCGATCTTTCTGGAAACCATCTCACCGGTGAAATTCCAGCATCCCTGAGTAGTCTCCATTTCTTGTCTTCGTTCAGCGTCGCATATAACAATCTTCAAGGACCGGTACCAACAGGAGGTCAGTTTGATACTTTTTCGACATCCAGCTTCGAGGGAAATCAAGGGTTGTGCGGTCCAGTTCTTCACCACTCTTGCTCAATTCAACCGGGGTCTAGGAACCCCTCTGCACCCAATAAAATCCCCCAAAAGAAAATCATCATTGGACTCATCCTCGGTATCTGTTTTGGCGTTGGCTTTACTCTTACTGTGCTAGCATTAATGATATTGTCCAACAGGAGGATTCTTCCGAAATGTGGCCCTGAAAAAATTGATTCGGATTCAATTTCCTTCAACTCTAATTCCGGAATATCTACTGAGCTCTGCAAGGATGCCAGCCTAGTAATAGTCTTCCCAAACAATACCGATGAAATCAAGAATCTCACAATATTTGAGATTTTGAAAGCCACTGACAATTTCAACCAAGCAAACATTATTGGCTGTGGGGGTTTCGGATTGGTCTACAAAGCAACTTTAGAAAATGGGACCAAGCTGGCTGTCAAGAAACTATCGGGAGATATGGGTCTGATGGAGAGGGAATTTAAAGCAGAGGTAGAAGCTCTATCAACAGCCCAGCACAAGAACTTGGTTTCCCTGCAAGGTTATTGTGTGCATGATGGCTTTCGGTTACTGATATATTCCTACATGGAGAATGGAAGTCTTGATTATTGGTTGCATGAGAAGATTGACGGTTCAGTCCAGCTAGATTGGCCAACTCGATTGAGAATTGCACAAGGAGCGAGCTGTGGGCTCGCTTACATGCATCAAATCTGTGAACCACATATAGTCCATCGTGACATAAAGTCCAGCAACATCCTCCTTGATGACAAGTTTGAAGCGCATGTTGCAGACTTTGGATTGTCCCGATTGATTCTTCCTTATCATACCCATGTCACGACTGAACTGGTTGGCACGTTGGGTTACATTCCCCCGGAGTATGGCCAGTCGTGGATAGCCACTTTGAGAGGGGACATTTACAGTTTTGGGATAGTCATGCTTGAACTGCTGACAGGGAAGAGACCTGTGGAGGTATCTAAGCCGAAGATGTCAAGGGAATTGGTTGTTTGGGTGCAGCAAATGAGAAGCGAGGGAAAACATGATGAAGTCTTCGATCCTCTCCTGAAAGGAAGGGGCTTCGAAGAAGAGATGTCGCAGGTGCTTGATGTGGCCTGTTTGTGTGTCAATCAGAACCCTTTGAAGAGGCCCACGATTACAGAAGTGGTTGATTGGCTTCAGAATGTTGGGGCTGACAGGCAGCAATCAAAATGAAAAGGCATTAGTAACATGTATGTATACTTTACAGGACATGAGTTTATTGTTATTGCATGTTCTAAAGCAAATATACTTGTATAACTAGTTGTCTGTGGAGACAATAAATTTTTTCCCTTAAATTTATCTAATGACAATGTATGATAACCCATGTATAAATAGTATAACCATGTAATCCAACTTCAGTTTACAAAGAAACTAAAGGTCAAGGCATAAAATTCTAATATGTTGTCAAGTCTCCTGAGGAATGTCACTCCACCCTCATAAAGTGACAGCTTTTCAAAACTAAAAAGCATCTATGGTAGTGTTTACTTTTTAGACTTAGATCTTGTGTCGGTTAAAAGTCAATTTAGATGTTTCACAATGGATACATGGCGTTTAGGGATGGTAAGTTTACCTTGCTTTAACATTATGAGTTTGCTTTTAACACTATGGCCATGTTTTGTATCACTTATAAGTTAGCTTTTATAATTATAACTTTTTAAATTATTAGCTCAAGATTGTATTTGATTCATGGAGTTGGGTAGGGATTTGAAAAAGGAAACGAAAAGGGTAGGTGAAGTATAACTATATTTCACACACCTTTTCCCTATCTCTTTCTAAATCTTTACTTAAATCCATGAATCAAACATGGCCCAAAAGAATTAAAATAGATTATAAATCTGTTTGGTGCAACTTCTGATAATTTGTAAAAAAAGGTTTAAGATGTTTGGTTGAATAAGCTATCACATAACTTTATTTGATATGCAAATATCAAGAATGCCCTGAAAAGTCTTTTTACACTAGTAATTTAAACAAAAGAGAGTGGCTCTTGTCTATATATATTTAAGGGTTTAAGTAAAGTAAGAAAAAAAGCTACAAATTGTAATTTAAAAATATCTCACTTTTTTGGTTAAAATTCTTCAAAATAAATCAAATATGTCCGACACTCGGATACGGGTGTGGAATATGTGTCCGATACTTTTCATTAACACTATTTTACATGTATCATTTGTTGTGTAATTGCTATAAAATACTTTTTTTTTATAAATACCTTTTTAATGTTGTATGTTATATATAGTACCGTTTTATCTCACATAATAGATTAAAAATATAAAAATATGACTTTTTTTTGCCGAGTCCACACACTCTTAAGTTTGAGATTTGATAAGTCTGACCTTTAAATACGCACCCGCATCCGACACCCGTACCCGAGTCCATGTAACACATTAAATATGCTGAAAAAGTCACACAAAAAAAAAGAGTAATAATTTAAAATTGCATCCAAATATCATTACTAAACTTTTGTTTAAGCAAATAAGTTGACTTATAAATGCTACCAAACGGGTCTATATACCGCTCAACTTAAGATCATTTTAGCAGCTTGGCATATCATTTATCCATTTTTCGGCTTGAAACAAATATATGAGATGGAAGAATTGATATGTTTTGCTCTGTAATCTTAAATTTTCCCAATGAATTTTCTTGTTAAAAAAGCATAAATTTCTACGATTATAAAAGGACAAACTTCTGGATCTCAATGTGCAGTAAAAGATGCAAGAGTACCTGTGCTACTATATTAAAGACTATACGAAGCATGAGTTTGAGTTTCAGGCATCAATACCATCTCGAATACAAATACCTCCTTTGGAAAGAAATCCTACAAAAGTTAACAACTCATTTTGATATGCGCATATTGGAACCCATGAGTGATCATAGTGACCCGCAACTTTACCAGCATGTGGAGTTATGATGAATGCCAAGATGAAGACTCCTCTACACCAAGGATCTTAGGGGACCACAGACAGTAGGATCGTAGGACTTTCTCTCACATTCCACTTCCCTCCTAGACCACTCCTTTTCCTACAACCGTTGTTCCCTTGGTTACTTTTGGATCTGCATTCAAAAAAAGGTTTGGGACCCTTGACTAACCCTAATGAGGATGAGGACTCCTCGACTTTAACATAGATGCTATGGGGCCATGTCTCCCAAGGGCCATCTGTCCCCCTCTTCCCTATAAAGTTCATTTGGCCTGTCGATTTTTAGTTACTAATATTATACTTCTTAGAATTATAGGGTGAGAAGCCGACCCACAAGAAGGCTATGAGCTAACTATGATACTGGGAGTATAATCCAAGAAGATCAAGATCCCAATGTAAAGAAAGATTATAATCAAGAAAATGGATAGTGAAACATGCCTATTCAGAGCATCCATTATGCAAGCAAATCAGCTCCATGCCATTACTCAAGCATTTATGTGCTCTTCAGTATCAATAATATCACTCCATCAAGTTATAGTTATGAGATATAGACTAATCATATGGTTCAATCATCCTTAGAGGAGTTTGACCCACAACTTGGTGAATTTCTAAAGGAGCACTTGTGTGATCATTGTAAGCCATAGCTGTTCAATTTTCAGTCTACTTTTTTAATCTGGCATCGGAAGGATGATCTAAAGCAAGCAATCACATAATCATAATCTCAAGATTTCTAACCCTATCAATAAAAATATTAACATCTATCCACCACAAGATTCACAATTACAAGACTGTGACTCTTATTCTTTACTGATAGATTTCCAACTAGCCTTATTTATGCAGTAATTAAGCACACTGTTTAATGGGATGGGGGGGGGGGTAGGGGGGGGGGAATGCGGCATAAGAAATGAATGAAAAGGAGCTTACAACTTCCCAAATTTTCTCGTCATAAGGTCTTCGATAATGAGGAAATTGAATTTGCTCCTCTACTTTGTTGGAGTTGTTCCACAAATTTATACAACATAGGGTTCCTCCACTCCTCCTGTACCTGAAAAACCCAATGCACCAATATAATTTCAAGAATTCATTGAAGGTCTGAAATAATAAAGTCTGAAAAACAATAAACCAGCGACAGAAACCATGAAAATTACCAATGGCAGATCACTAAGATACTGTGGTATAGAGATATGCATACATACATACATACACCTTCAAACACAGGAACTCATGAGAAGAATTCCCTGGCAGCACTTTTACTTGCTCCTGAGGAATGATCACTGACATACAGTGTGTCCATGGAGGTTTTTACCAAACCCAAATAATTTTATTACAGAATTCCCAAATCCAAGCAAGTTCAAAGTTATTTTTCAAACACAAATTTGAAGTCATGAAACAACCTGGGTTTGGGAATTCTGTTTCAAAACAATAGTATTTGGTAATAAGAACTCGTGTCCATGTGTATATAAATATATACACTCACAAATATTCAAATACTGTTGTGATGCAGAGACAGAATACTTGTGAAAACAGATAGTAAATTGGTTGCTTTGTCAAGCTCAGCATCTGGGTGGGGCATTTTCATGAACAGGTGCTGGGACTAAACCAAACTACAAGAAAATTGAAGAAAACAAACAATCAATCTTTGAATGTAAAAATTAAAACAATATTACAAAGAAAATGGGTTTGAAATTGAAAACTTGGTGGAGAAATTGATTTGGTTGAGACAAAAAAAGGGAAAATCAACTGGCCATTTAACCAAGCACCAACGATATTCTAAACTTGGCGCCATTTTAGATCAAGAATCCCAAGATGACACTACTAAACATTCATGTGTGAAACAAACTGACCCAATATAGTTGGAAGAAATAGCATTGTTGAAGAACAAGTCATGTAACAAGAATTCAGATTGACTCTGTTGACTTTTATACTGGCAAGCAAAGCATAATAAGTCCAAAGAAGTTGCACTCTGAGCATCTCCAATGGCAAATGGTAAGCATTGCCGTTGCCAAATTATGGCAGTGAATAGTAGCATTTGGCTCAAATTATAGCAAGGGTGCTTCAATGGAGGACTGTCATTTTTGTCATTTTGACAAAAAAAATTGGCGTGTGGGATGTCAGGTCGGTCATCCACCGGTTTCCAGTTTTCGTTCTGCAAAAATGGCGGACGTGAGGAAGTGATGTTTGACTGGGAGAGAGAGAGAGAGAGGGGGGGAGGGAGGGAAGTTTTTGATGAGAGTTGGCAGCTATTGCCAAAAACTTGTGTCAAATTTGATACAAGTTTTGCTATTTGTCAAATTTGACAACTGTCATAAGTTATTGGAGGTGAATTTATGTGAATTGCTGGCATAATTTGGCAATAGTAGCTCTAATGACTTAGTATTGCTATTGTTATAATTTGATAATGAATAGTATTATTTTGTCAAATTATAACAATAGTGTTCTAATGGTCACTTGCTATTTTAGTAAATCTCAACCAACTTTCCATCCGAGTTTGTAGGTGTTGTTTGGATATAGTTTTTTTTTTGTGACATTTTTTAATTGTTTCTAAAAAAAATTATATATTTATATTATTCCTGACTAGACAAATATAAAAAATTGGAAAATTAAAAAAAAAAATTAAATATAATTCACCCAACCACAAAATATACCACTACAAAAAAAAAAAAAATTTATCAGGAGGCAGGGGACAAATTTAATATAATGGACCATTACATTACATTACAAAATAAAAATGACATTGCAAATAAAGACTAAAACAATTACATTAAAAAATAAATGACATTACAAAATTAAAAAATACATTCTCCCGTAATTATTTATCAGGAGCCGGGAAAAATAGTAATTTGGGTTGCTGACATGTACGAACTACTTGGAAAAAATCTCATTTTTTCGCATTATATAATTCCAGTTTTCGTTCTGCAAAAATGGCGGACGTGAGGAAGTGATGTTTGACTGGGAGAGAGAGAGAGAGAGGGGGGGAGGGAGGGAAGTTTTTGATGAGAGTTGGCAGCTATTGCCAAAAACTTGTGTCAAATTTGATACAAGTTTTGCTATTTGTCAAATTTGACAACTGTCATAAGTTATTGGAGGTGAATTTATGTGAATTGCTGGCATAATTTGGCAATAGTAGCTCTAATGACTTAGTATTGCTATTGTTATAATTTGATAATGAATAGTATTATTTTGTCAAATTATAACAATAGTGTTCTAATGGTCACTTGCTATTTTAGTAAATCTCAACCAACTTTCCATCCGAGTTTGTAGGTGTTGTTTGGATATAGTTTTTTTTTTGTGACATTTTTTAATTGTTTCTAAAAAAAATTATATATTTATATTATTCCTGACTAGACAAATATAAAAAATTGGAAAATTAAAAAAAAAAATTAAATATAATTCACCCAACCACAAAATATACCACTACAAAAAAAAAAAAAAATTATCAGGAGGCAGGGGACAAATTTAATATAATGGACCATTACATTACATTACA